AACTCATTTGGTCAAGCCTTGTGCAAAAAGATGTTGGAGTATACTGGAGCCTACTGAGAATAAGATACATAACAACTCTACAGCTTAAGTTGCTCTTTTGGGCTTTTCTTACAAAGATGTTACAAAGGGAAACAGTTGTGAATTACCTGCACTGCAAATTGCTTTGCAATTGCACCACTTCAGACGCCAATGAGTTCTAACATAAACTCACATTCCCAGGACAATAACGTTAATCTGAAAAGGGCTAGGTACAGAGTACTCACAATCAAGACTTCATTTATCTCTCTGGGTCATTTAACAGCTGTTGAGAGAATACAATGCGTTTTTGTCTTCATTTTATTTTTTAAAACTGTTTGGAGACACTGGTTCTTCTTTGTATGGGTAAGTCTGCCTGCCACCTCCACGGCTCTATTGACTATTGCCAAAATTGATTTTCTGAAGAGGGGAACCCCAGCAAACATTTTGAGTCATATATTTGAAAATAAATGACTTTATTTTGTTAATAAATTTACAGCATAATCCTAAAAGTATTTCCTCAGGCATTGCTTCCTTCCAATTTCAGTGAGATTTGCACTCCAGCAAGCAAGTTTAAGATTTCAGCTTCAGGTCTCCATGGCTTCCGTTGCTTTTCCATTTATAATAAGTAGCAATGAGGGTAGTGGTGATTGCAGTGATGGTGGTGTTAGCTATGAGCCCTTACATCCCAAAACGTGTGGCTCTCTCAAAGCTTTTTGCCAAGCTGTCCATACACTTAACCAAAATATGTCCTGCTTTGATTGTGCTTCCTATATACTGAGAATTCTATCTTTCCCAGGTTTGACAAAGGCAACATATCAGGAAATGCACACCCAGATTTTGTTTTAATCTTGAAAATAAGGGGTACACAATGTTTTTCAATGTTTACATGTGTATTTAATAAACTAATAAAGCACATTTATTTTATTTTTAGCCTACTTTTTACTTTTCATGCAGTAAATGGAAGGGTAAATGGTTACATAGGGTTTCTAGGCAATCTCACATCCAGGCATTGACCAGACCCAGAACTTCTTTGCTTCAGTAAGGCTGCTGTATCCCACGTCCTTAGTTCATGACCTGCTTTGTTAACAATACTGGCATGATGTGATGTGAAAGCAAGAGGCAACATGGATTGCAAGCTCTGCTTAAAATTCAGATTTCTAATATTTAGTACCAGCCTTTAAAATCTGTTGCAACAAAAAGCTCTTGTAGCAAAAAATTTTATTGAAAGGCAGACCATGCTAATTTATTACTATTTTTGAATAGTTTTGACTTAAAAGTTAGTCTGGTTATCTGCCATATGTATATAGTAGGAATAGGTACACTCATGACTTCAGTAAAGTTTCTGGGTGAGTCAGAATGAGACACAAATCTGCTGTCCCTGTGGTGGAACCCCAAATGGAGACTCCCTGTGGGCAAGCTCAATGGGTTACAGTGTGCTTTCACACAGTCATGTTCATAACCTGTCCAGTGCACTGACTAGATGTGGAGGGCTATCATGTGAAAACATTAGGGGTACTAGTAGCAACTCAGGATTAGGTAGGGCTGAGTTGGGCCATTCTTTGCAATCACATGCAAAACTAATCAGGATTCTAGTCAGAGTCCGCTCAGGATGTTTTCATGGTTTTGTGATAGCATCGTGTAGATGAGCTCATAAACAATAATTTGAAGCGTTTTATGTGAGACCACTTGTGTGCAGCATGCTGTCACAATGCTTAATTGAAAAGGCATTTTATCAGGCTAAATTCCTAAGGGGACTGATGGGCAGCTGAGTTCAGTTGGTGGGCTAGATGACCACCCCTTCCGTCGTTCTGTGGCACAACTGACAGTAAAGACAGAATGACACCCCCTAGTGTCATTAGGTCTGCATCTGATGAATTGAGTAAATTATCCACTCCATGCATGGTCCAGAAAGTTGCTGCTACTGACTCTGTCTGCCCAGCACCTTCTCCCACTAGGTGAGGATTCAGGGTAGGCAAGGGGCACTCGGCCAACATTTGTATGGGTTCCTGCAAACATCAGCTGCATATTCATTCTACCTTCATTCATCCTTTACCTTTCACATGAGGTTGTTCACCCATGATTTAGGAAATAGGCATGAGAAAAGCTACAAACTTGCTAGTTATGTGGCCAAATCTCACCCTAGACAAGAAGTCCTGTTGACTTCCATGTTTATAAAACATGGGTGCTGGCTGGAGACTGCCTGAGCGTCTTGTGGGAACTGTGTATCTAACCTCATTGTCCACACTGTTCCTTTGGATCTAGTCACAGCATAGTGAATATTATGGGTCAGACCATATCCCTATAGCCCAGTATTGACAACCAATCAGCAGCAGCTTGCCAGGATCTCAGTGTACAATAGCTCACATTCATTGCTGTTTCTCCCTTGCTAGATCTGGGCTTGTCTGAACGGCCATGTTTCTACTTAAAGTTGATTTCAGCACATTGTATCCTGGATTTTACCAATGAGTTGATCTGAATATTAAAGAATGCAGAATTGAACCTTCCTGTTAACATTTTCTGGCATACTCTTTTTCTAATACAAAGTTTTCTAATGCAATACACATACGCACACACAATATATCTAATGTACTATATATCTAATGTAATATATATATATATATATATATATATATATATATATATATATATATAGTAGTAGTAGTAGTAGTAGTAGTAGTAGTAGTAGTACAAGCATAATCCCATCACAACCACCACCCTCCCAGTATAAGTAAGAAAGATGTTGGTCTTTTGGAGTGAGGATTTATAAAAATAATTTTCTAAAAAACTGCTTATCAAAATGTGTAGCTATTATATTGCATAGAAAAAAGGAACTTGCTTTCTCTCTCCTTTTACATGGAAGTGATTTGATTAATGATTGCCCTCCTGCTTCTTCCTTTTTTGGCAAGTGTCAATGTGCTGGGCAGCACTTCCTTAATTAAAATGAGCAGAGAGAGGGGCTGATTAGTGGGCAGGAGAGTGTTCTCTCTCTGTTTTTATGGCTGCTACCAGTTACCTTGGTTGCGGAGACACAGTCTTGCCTCAGACCATCGTTTGCACATCTCTTTCATGGAGACATTTGAACACACCAAGCCTTTGACACTTAAAGCATTTTGAATGGAAAGTCACAAAGCCAATTTTCTCTCTTTTTAACAAGGAAACATAATATTTCCCCAATGCTCTGATTTCTTTCATTAATCTGGTTTCATTGATCTGATTTCATATTAACTATGAAGGCTGTTCTTTCATTCTTCCAACATTTCATTTAATCCCCCCCTTTATGAATTTATTTATGGAGAGAATATAAGGATGTACTCTCTAAACATTTATGTTCACATACATTGTAAAGCTTCAGTAAAAAGAATTTTAAAATACAATTAGAAATGGAGACAGCATGTGCCAAAGGAAGTCTCACTGTGTTTCTGATGAATTTGCTCAAGGTATATCCATTTTTGGTTCAATATTCTTGCCAGTGGACTGTGCTTCCTCTAAACCAAACTCTTACCTTAACCTGAGGCATCCCCTCAACTCTGAGACTCAGAGTTAATCCCTATACATTCAGAATATATGTAGAAAGGGAGCATGTCAGGTGCTCATATGGACTGCTTAGTTTGTTTGCTCAGCCTAGATTGTTGCCAGGCCCAGGTATATGCAGACCAAGCCCAGGTTTCCCAACTGTAATCTAAGGTTAATGCTAAATCCAGCTCTAACCCTAATCCAAAAACTAAGATAGAATCTCTACACATTTGGGCGTCCTAAAGAAATGGCATGTGCTGGGACTTCCCATTGACTGAGTTTGTTTACTCAGTCTAGGTTGTTTCAAGGCAGAGGCACTTGCAAAGGGAGTCTGCATTTCTCAACCCTAATCCTAACGTTAACCCTAATCTGCACCTTGAACTCAGCCTAACGTCCAGGAAACAGCATAAGAGAGAGGTTTCTTGTTTACCTTCCATCGGTTTCCCCTTAGAGCCTCCAGCATGCATGAGGCTTGCACATAGCGGGGGCGCATGGACACACATGTAGGAAGGGGTCTTAGAGGTGGGCGTGTAGGGGTGTGTGCTTACGTGTGACATTTAGCGGCAGTGGCAGCACTCCTGCAGTGCTACTCTGGAGCAACAGCACTATGCAAGCACGGAGGTGGTTGTTTCACTAAGCCGCCAAAAAAGCAGCAGGAGCAGCCAGCTGCAGTCACACCCAGCGGAGCGAGTGGGCCAGTGAGGGAGAGGTAGATAAAGGAGGCAGGAGCAGTGCATGCTGGGATTAATTCTAAGCTGCAGGGGGCTGATGAGATACATGCTGCTACTTGGTGGGAAGATGGAAAAGCATGGAGTCAATGCCTGCAGAGAAGCTGCACGAATGTGTGAGCCCAGGACACTAGGTAAGTTACAATGCCATGCAGTTACCGTGAGGCATTGTTCGGAATTGTGGATGTCCTCTTGACTACTCAGTCTTCCCAACTGAATCTAGTTCCAGGTCCAGCAGAAGGGCCCAGGTTTTCCTAACTCTAAGCTGAGCATTATCCCCAAAGAGACATGTCAGTATATTGACTATGAGTGGAGAAAACATGCACCAAGGGAAGGCTCAGAGTGTCATTGTTTTATTTTGCTCTTAATTTGTTCAATGCAACTTTTTTTCTGGTTTATCTACATGCAGGTGGACCCTGGTTTTCCTTATTCTAACTGAACGAAAACACGAATGCAGAGCTGATGCTTGATCCAGACAGCAAATCCAGACAGAATCCAATGTCATTTTGAAATCAGACTCAGAGGCAGAAGCCATAGATTTATTTACTGCTCACTGTTTCTCCTCAATCAAAGCTCGTTTGGGGGCTAGCAACCTCACCTTGACCATATGTTATTTCCAGTGTTAACACCCAGGTGTAATGCATACAGATGGATATAATATGCAGTGTGGGAAGATGTGTGGTGCTCTAGTTGAACTCTTACTTAATTTGTTAAGTCTAGGCTGCTGTTAGCTGCTTTTACATGCAGCACAACACTGGTTGTCCTCACCCACAGTTGAACTTTACTCTCACCCATAAAATGCATTTAAAATCCATTTACAGTCAGCAAACATAAAGAATGCTAGTATTCAATATATTCTTGGTGACTACTTGCTTTTTTTTGCTCAGTTTAGGGCCCCAGGTTTTCCCAAAGTTCACTCTAACCTGGAATAGAAACACAACCCCAACTCCTATAATCCAGAGTTATTCAGAAATAATGCTCAAAGGCAGAACTCAGGATTTTCTTTGGAATGCTCACTCTTTCTCTCCAGCCAAAGCTAGTTTCAAGCATCCATAGACATAGAGGTAGCCAGATTTTCCTAACTCTGTCCTGAAGCTTAACCTCAACCCCAACATCAATTTATATCCTCATTTGTTCAGATAGCATGCGGAGTGGGACAGTAGGAAGAAGAGAGGAGAGGGAGAAGACTAGTGAAGAAGCATGGATGGGAGAAGAGCGAGCAATAGCTTTCCAAGAAGGATAAACAGCAAATGAGTAAAGGCTGTGTTATTAGAGCAATAGCAGAATCCTTTATATATATATATACTCAAAAGTAAGGCTCACTGAATTCCATGGGTCCTATTCACAGGGAAGTGTGCATTGCATTGCAGCCTGAGACTATTCACTGCTAATTTTTTTACAACTTGGTGCCATCCAGATGTTTTAGACTACAACTCAACAGCATTGACCATTCTGGCTTGGGCTGATGCGAGTTGAAGTCCAAATCATTTGAAGGTCACCAAACTGGGTAATGCTGAGGCTTTTAGTCATATAATCAGATAAGGCTTTTGTGCAATTGCCTTGCCTCGTTCACTGAATATTACACTGACTTCAATATGTATTCTTAGTGTGTTTTCCCATCATTTTTCATGCTTCCTTGTCAAAATAAATAACTAAAAGTAGTACTTTGGATCTGTAGTACTAGGAGAGTTCCATTTGGAAGCACCCATTCACCTTATGAGGTTACATTACATGCAAAAGCATTCAGGGCAAGTTCTGCAACTTATTTCCATCCTAAGAAACAAGGGCGCAGAATGTTGTTCACCCCAAAGACTACTCTGGAAGCGAAAGGGAGTGGGAGCAAAAATACAAAAACAAGCAAGCCACCATATTGTGCCTTAAAGCTCTAACTGCTCGGAATGAAGTTTTTGGGGAGGCAGTTCAATATTTCTAATGGGGAGAAATTGCACAAAAGCCACACAAACCCTTCAACTACATATTCTTAGGGGAAAGGAGGTGAGACTATCTGGAACCCCTCCCCAAAGGCTGGAAGGGGAGCCCCAGGGAGTGTGCAGTGCTGCACCCTTGCTTTAAAGCAATGCATGGTAAACATTCACTCCCATAGCACGGCTTTCATCAAGGGAGTGTGTGTCTGATCTCACCAGCATCTCGGTGGCTTAGTTAATTTGCCCTTCAGCCTTTGTCATTTGCAATCAGATGTTTGGGTTACAATGCTGGGATAAATGGACCAGTGGCCTTCCTTTAAGTTTCTTTTTTATCCTGTGGTAGGGAATAATGGAAAGAAGTCAACAATGTACCTCCCTCTCTCTCTCTCTCTCTCTGTAGGTAGTGTGAGACATGATTTAATGCTGCATCATGTGGCTTTGATGAATGATTAAAAAAAAATTAGCTGGCACAGCTGGAATATTTCATTCTTAATTATCGCTGTTATATATTATTAATAAAGGTGTTTACTTGTCATTATGTCAAGCCATTAGTCAGGGGATAGCAGAGAAAGACAGAATAATTCAGAATCACTACAAGCAGATCTACACCTAGGGATGCTGCTGCTCTGAGAACAGAGGTGCTTCTTTAATGGAGCAGGAAGACTAATGTTCTGTTTTTATTACTAATAATAATTTGATGTATTGTTTACTTTATTCAGGGCACAATCCTATGCATGTTTAGACAGAAAAAAATGCTGCAGCTCCCATGCTGGCTGGGACATGCTGGAACTTCTAGGACTTTTCTGTCTAAACATGTCTAGAACTGCAGCCTTATTTATAATATTTTTAATTCACCCAAGAACAAATATTTTCCAGACAAATTACATAAAGATAAAATAATATAATACCCTACCAAACAACAAAGAGGACAAGGAAGGGCTGCAAGATCCTGCTGTTAGCTTTATCTCAAGGAAGGTCTAAGAAAATGCCATGAGAAAATAAGAAAAGATACATGACAGAGCAAAGATTCTTTCACACTGCTGGCAAATCTTGCTGAAGTGTCTCTGCCTACTCCATACGTCAGACTTGCACAAGACCACTCCGATAAGTATATATTTGCATTCACCGAACACTTTTTGAGGCGAGGAACTGCTACCACTGTAAAGTGATTTAGCTGTCCCGAAGTCAGCTGAGAACATGTTGGGAGCTGGTGTGGATGAGGGGCTGAGAGTGGCAGGTGTCCTTCATGACCCAGAGACCCAGATGCACCTCCATGGAGGACGTGCCACTTACGTGTTGCTGGATTGGCATAATTACCCTCTCCATGGCCTGGGTGGTTCATGAACACCACCCAGCAGCTCTAGAACATGCCAAAGGTTTCAGGATGGATTGTAAATCTCTTTAGTCACACTCAATGGGTTTGGGTGTCACCAAAACTTGCTCCTGGTGGGGATAAGTTGGCTAATTAGGTAGCTCCCAACTGGCACACATGCAGGGTGGGGGAATAAATCACTGTGACTCTTCCCAGATTGAGAGCACCAATTCAGGCCATTGATGCTGAGGAGCAAGGAGCAGGCAAAGCATGTGCTCTGGATCTTTCCCCTGCGGCTCACCTGCTGCTCTCAGGTACACTGGAGGATGCTCTCATATCTCTAGTCCATTCAGTTACTAGCCTGGTAAGCATCTGTGTGTGTGCAATGGGAACTGAGTGTGACATCTTGTCTACCTCAGGCAGCAAAATGTCTTGGGCCAGACCTGCTCAGCCATCCCCAGGTGGTGTAGTATGGATTGTGAAATGTGGTTGCTCCACAGCTGAAGAGTCCGTGCAGCTCTGCCCTCAAGGAAAGTCCAAAAATTCAGGCAACTGTTCATTGCCCATTCAAGAACAAACCACTCCCAAAGACTTTGTATTACATTTATCCCCTCAACCACCCCAGCAACTGCAAGGACTGCAGCTAAATTCAGAGGGAATGGGGATTCTGGGAGAAAAATACTGGGTGAAGTCAGTGCCCCTGCTAAATAAATCGGTGACAGCACTGCATTCCTGAGCAAGCTGGCTTTGCTCTGCCACACTCCCGGGGTCCTGTATTGAAATACCGCTTCAGCCAAGACCTCACTTGGTCTCCCGAGGCAAGTCATGATCTTTCAGACTCAACCATTGCAGCAGTGCAGCAGAAGAGCAAATGATACAGGCCTATCTTACTGGGCTGATGTAAGGTTTGCTAAAAACAGTTCTTACGAAAAGACCATCATGTGATAAGATTACAGGTGAGGAGATGCATGCTACATTAATTCTGTCGATGAAAATGTTCTAGTTAGAGATTTTCCTTCCCAAATGTGATTATGTGTGTCAGGCTTTTAAGAAGTGAAGCTATGCTAGACAAGAAAGGCCTATAACTCCCATCATGCCCCAGGCAGCTATATTTTTCTCCAAAACATAATGGGGCATGTTGGCAGTTTAGGGATTAATATATAACAGGCATTGGACTACACCATTAAAGAAGCAAATAGGGATAAATATCAGAAGAACTAGTTGCCTACATCTCGGGAAAAGAACCTGGCTTATATAATATAGCACATCAGCGTCTTCTTTACTGGGTAGCCACAAATGTCAGCCTTGCAGTTTTGCTTTGAGTTGGGAAGAATTGCCAATCTTCCCATGCAAAAAATGAAGCTAAATACTTCATAAACCTCCCTGCTGTCTGAGGCTAGGGACTTCTGTGACCATTGCCTTTTCAGAGGTCAGGCAGTTTCACCTGAAAAAACTCCTTTTTCAGCTCTGGTACTTTATCCTTCTTGTTTTAAAGTCTTTTGTGGAATCTAGTTTTAGAGTTTTTTGAAAGACCTGCTGGTGGTGGTAAAAAAGATTATTTTTGCCCTCCTGCCCCCATTCCTGGGAATAAAAATAATGTTGTTTAAATAAAAGAAACTCTTCTATCTGGACATTTATTTTAAAAAAAAGAGGTGGGGGCTTTTCCAAAATGGTGTTTTTTGTTAGCAGAAACAAAGCCATTTATATTCCTATAGCCAACATATGTCCTACACACCCAACTATTACAAATGTGCAATGCACCTGGGTTAAAAAAATATTATAATATTCTTATAGCCACACTTCTAGCTGTAAGTAGAAATCCCTTTAAGCAAAGGGTGCTTCTCACTGCTGGTTTAGAATAGACAGAGCCATTATGCCCCATGAGGACTGGAAACCTGTGCATATATCTTTTTGCTTCCCCCTTATCTCTGGTCAAATGTGTTTTGTTTCCAAGTTTTTAAACACTTCTATGCCTGCAAGTGAAAACTGTGCAAGAAAGCCAAAGGTGGTGTGATGGTTAGATGGTTGTGTGATGTCCCATCGGTCCAAGACTAGGGAGATTCAGGTTCACATCCCTAGCTCACAAGTTAAATCATTAGTTAACGTTTGGCCCAGTAATTCTTAGCATAGCCTACCTCACAGGGTTGTTGTGAGGATAAATATGTACCTACCTGATCATCTTATCAGGGGGTCCTTCCAAAAGAAGTGAGATGGGTAGCTGCCAGGAAGAGGGCCTTTTTGGTAATGGTACCCTAGTTTTGGAAAGCGCTCCCCAAAATGGTCTATGTGGCACCTAATTTGCATTCTTTTTGGCACCAGGTGCAGACCTTTTTATTTTCCCAATATTTTAATGGTTTAACTTTTAAATGTTGTTTTTATGTATTTTATTTTTATTCTGTACAGGCTTCTATGCTAGGCTTCTATGCTGAATCATAGTTTTTGCTATTACTGTTGTGTGCTTTTAAATTGTGTGTGTGTTTTTAACTTTTCTTCAATTTTTACTTTTGTTAACTACCTGGAAAGCCTCAGCAATTGGGTGGTATAAAAATGAAAAAAATAGGCCTAGCCCTAGGAAAAAATAAATGAAACAATGAGCGGAGTGTGTATTTCAAAGTCCTCATATGTTTTGGATGAGAAGATATATTTAGAATTGTGAGAAAGTGTCATGGCTCCTCTCACAAATGGTTGCCATGGGCTTGCCCCCTCATAAAATGGCAGCCACAATTTACTTTGCAGAAGGCGATGAGGTGAAAGCAAAATAAAAGTAACTAGGCCAAGAGCCTTGGTGCAAAGCAAAGCTGGAGTTGGAGCTCTGGAACACAAAACACCTCCTTTCAATCCAAATAATGGTGGCACCAGAAGGCAGAACAAAACACTTTAAGAAAAAAACCAAAAATCAGAAGTGCCCAAGGAGCCTGGTGAGCATCAGAAGAGGTGCCCATGGCCATTATAGGAATTATGTTAGAGGCCCCAGCTATACATATTGGGAAGCCTTTCCTCTTTCTAATCACTTTCAACCACTGACACAGGTTATTGTTCCTCTCTCCACTGTGAGAACTCCTTTTCATCTTTATTGGTTTGTCTGACATCAACATTATTATCTTCCTGGTACAGAATAGAGACCTTTTTTCCCCTCAGGTATTCAGCAACATAGCACAAGATTATAATCAGTTCCTAGATTTTTTTCTTGTTGCTTGGTGCAATTATTTTTAGATCTCTGTGTGTTGTGTAATCTTACATTTTTGTATGTCTCTTGTATTTTTTAATCCTTGCAAACTACCCAGAGACCTTTGGCTATTGGGCAGTATCAAAATATAATAAATAGAGATGAAATGAACTCAGGGCATGCAGGCTTGCTCCCTAATTATTTGGTCTTGCCACTTAAAGTCCTCAATCTATCTGGTCCTCTCTACAATAACTATTGCAGTACTTGGTGACACAGCATTTTATGGGAGATGTTGATTGAATGATAACCCTTTTTGCATTCAATAACATCAACCTCTATATATGCCTCACCTACACACACACACACACACACCAGATTATTGCAGACCTTAACTTGATGCATTCTGAAATGGAACGAAAAGGAAATGCAAATACTGACGGAAGGGTGCAAACACATGGCAGCTTTTACTAGTTAAAGGCAACACTTTGCATTTCTTCAGTGCTTTTCCACACATACGTTTATGAATGTATTTTTCAAACATTGATTTCAGTCAAATTAACAGGAAATGTGGCCATTTCTCAGGGGACCAATTATTGCGGGGGAAGAAATCACACAGCACTCTGCTTCTCGAAATTGCTGTGTGAGAGCCGCCTGTGCACCACAGCTAGAATTGCTCAGCGAGGGTGGCTCTTGGCTCCCAGGGAAGACATAGGGTTTTCTCAGAGTAACTTTTTATTTGTTCTTATTCTCTGATGCATTGATTTGAACTATTTTGTGCTGTTCCTCATCCAAAAAGACTCCTAGGACAGTTTACATACTCAATGAACCAAGTTGGTGTTTAGGTTTGCATGACACAGCAAACAACTAACAATAGCACCAATGGTTGCGTGTTGTGTTGCATGAACCCAGGCATGGTTAGTAGCCATTGGATCTTCTTGTGTTTGGCAGCAGATTTTTGTAGAGTTTGCATGACCCATGGGGGATTTTGGCACTTGAGGATGGCTACCAGAGGCCTTTCCGATCTCTACTCTGCATCACCACTCCAAGTTCAGGGCAG